AGCCTCCTCAGGGTTCTCGAGTCGCAGTCTCTCCATCAGTCGCTCCTGTTCACGTTGATGCTCCTTCCGCCGAAAGTGCCGCGCCTTCTTGCTCTTCACCTTCTTCCGCCTAGCGGCATCTCGCATTTCCGCAGCCATCGCCAATCGCAACTGACGGGCTACCCGCGCACTTTCGACCTCCGCGTGCCCTTCCGCCTTCGGGAACAAACCTTTCAAGACGATGTCATCTGCCCGCGAAGATCCAGTAACCTCACTCGTTAACTGCCCCGCATCCGATGGCAATCCCTCCCGACTCGCACCAAACACCAACGTCTCACCCGGACGCGTCGTCAACTGTTCCCGAATCTCATGATGGAAACGCGAAATCTCCTTTTGCACCAAATGCAAACCCGCCTCACGGGCCTGCCGCCGCACCCCCACGTGGTTCGTCACAGGCTTTATTACCTACACACGCACATGTAAACATACCACCGAGGCTTGGCTTTGGCCGCGGCTTGGCTTTGACCGAGGCTTGGCTTTGACCGAGGCTTGGCTTTGACCGAGGCTTGGTCACATTAATCATTGGACGTGGCAAAACACCACCTCTAATTGTTCATGCATGTTCTTACCGTATCCTCGCGGTTAGCGACATTTATAATCTGGGCGGTGGACGCCGAGGATTTCCCGCCGATGTCCTCCCAGCTGAAGTCCAGCTCAGCCATGTAGTTTTTTATTTAGCCGCGGTCCGGGTGAAAGCCCATCAAAATTCCGCGGCCCCGCGAGTGCACGATTTGACCCCAGAACGGCGTTATTTGTTTGCGTTGCATTTCCGCGTGTTGTTTATTGATTTTTACAGACGTGTGTGCACTCACTTGTCGGTGTTGTATTTTAGGGGAGGTGAACACATAACCGTCGGTGACTGATTGGTGTGGAGTGCTTCCTATTGGGTTATTCGGGGCAACGTCAAAGTGGTCGAGAAGTGATATGATAACGGAGGTGACATTTAGTCGGTTGGCGATCGTGCCATATGAGTGTTTCCCAAGGTTATTGAAGACAGTGGTTGCGTTTTCGTTTGAGCCGATTGCATTGGTGGCGGATACGCCGCATCGTTGTTTGTTGTGGCGTGACTTACCCTTTGACGTGGATCATAAGAACCGTCGCGTGGGTAATTTATCAGGTACCATTAAGTTATTGTTGCCACGTCGGTTACCCGTAAAGGACTATCAGGTACAGTTTTATTTGCTGGATGATGATGATTTATTCGCCTTTACAGCGGTCCGACCTAATCAGACAGGACAGCTGGCATTGCAGTTAATCCCCAAGATGGAGGATCGCATGTTTACAGAGGGTATAATATGGGTCAATGTACTTAACACTGCAACGGTAGGAGCTACGACAGCGTTGGGAGATGGTCAGGCTCCTCGTGAAGCACATCATCTTCGTTCTTACCATGGTGGTTTGAAGATTGTGGATGTGTTCGAGTGCCATACGAGTGCTACACTTGGAACTGTCGAGGCTCTCACGGCCGGTAAGAAGGAGAGCAAGACGCTTGCTACCAAGTTCGTAGACCCCGCTAGCGTCGCCACATTAGTCGTCCAGGATCCCGCCTCCAAAGGCGACCCCTCGCTCCCCGTCCCGGTACGCGCTTCAGACGAAGTCATTACGGCCTGGTCCGACCTGGAACGCTCCGTGGAGTTCCGACTCCGGCATCAGCAGGGACTGTTGCGCTACCTCTTCCCCGATAGGTCCTCCAAACCGGGCGGTCCCAATCGCGGCTCGAGTCGACCCGATCCCAGTCGAGGAGACCTCAGTCGCGCCGACCCCAGTCGAGGGAGCGTCAGCGGACGCAGTGCCGGCCGGCACACCGGCCCCACCAGTCGTCCAGGCGGCTACGGGGACCGCGAAGTCAGCAGTATTATCGACGTATTGGGTTTGCTCACAGTGCGCGACCAACGTGCTTCTCTAGCGGACGAGAGCTCTTGCAACCGCACCTCGCCACTCAGCGACAAGATAATGCGGTGGTACCGCGTCCTCACGGTATTGTGGCGCATGCAGGAGGCGATTCCGTGCATCCTGAGTGTCGCGACCGGCAGTCCTTACCGGGTTTCCACGGGAGGTGATGTTAACAATTTGAAGGACGGCGGTTCGAAGAACCGCGGTGGCCTGAGGGACTTCGCAGGCTTGAAAGGGGAACCTGAGTTGTTGGAATACCTGTTCAACGGCCGTCGACGGACGGTCGTGTTGCCTTCACTATACGCCGACTTCCGCGACTTGCTGTACTACGCCCTGGACAAAAGCTGGCAAGCCACACGCGTTTTAGTAGACTCAATTGAGAACGAGATGGCCGAAGTGGGCCGGTTGTCCAAAATCCTCGTAGACGAATACATATACAAGGAGAGACCGCGATCACGAGCCATCAAGGTCATGTTTCACCAATACGGACACCCGCCCAGAAACATCAGTGGCGGTACGCGCACCTTCGACGTCTTCATACGGCCTGAAGAAGAGCAACAAGTGCGAGAAACCCGACTGCGCAGAACTCAGTTCCGAGTCGGGGTCGGAGTTGCGACTGGCATCGACGGCTTCAGCAATATCAGCGACACCAGTCTAGCCGCCGCCGCCGCCGGTGGAGGACTGAGAGAGGAACGGACAGACTCAGCCACCACTGCTCGTAACAGTGGCCGGGTACCAACCACTGGCCGAAGCGCCAGTGGACGTCCCTCCGGTGCTGCTCGTGCCCCTGGCCCCACCGAGGCCGGGCCCTCCGGGACTGCTGGCCCCTCCGGAACCACTGAACCCGGGTCTACGGCACCGGCTGCCAGTGAAGCCCGATCTGGACGATTTCTCGGCGGGACCATCATTAGTCCCTGTGGACCACTGGAGTTTGTAGTGGATGAAAGGTGGGAGGTCAGCTGCTCCTGGGAACAGGAAGTAACGGAGTTTGAAAGCTACACTCATCTCAACAGTATCTTGCTCGAAACCATACGAGATGCCACACTCTCGCTCTACGCGAAGCAAAGGCAGAACGCTGACCAGCTCCTTCTTTTGGAAACGTATACGGATGCGCAACCCAAGGGAGCTGAAGAACTCACCGAATGGCTGGGAAGAACACCAGGGCAAGGTCGATTTGTCGCGGCGTACGAACTCAACTATCTTGACGAATTCATTGAGAAAACGGTGCGCGACTCTCTTATGGAGCCTCGGCCAGTGTACGTAGTGAGTTGGAAAGGTGCCACCTTGTATTTTAGACGGCGTCTGTTGGAAAATATACTGCCAAATAATTTCCAATGGCCTCCATCTGTCCACCAACAGTTCGATACCGCAAATATCCACCAGGTCATCAGCAATATTGATATATCTAAAGTTAAAGATGGTTATGTGGCGAACAAGGTTGAGAAACTGCTATTTCCGCATCATCAAGCCGAGGACCATGCCTCGCACACGCGTGCGCTAATGCTTCAAAAATTCTGCAACTCTCTCAATGCGTCGCCTGTTGTACCTTACAGCAGCGAGAACTGGATTAAGTTACTGCAGGACATTGGAATAGACGAATGCTCTGTGTGTTGCATGACCGTTATGAATCAACTTACCCAAAAGGCGGCTAGAGAGCTCATGATGGCTACCTTAGCCAGTCATGTGATCCGAGAAGTGTACGTAAGAGTAATGGGTTGGCTTGCACGTGTTCAGTTGCTGGAAGAGTCTGTCAAACAAGAGGAGCTCTACATCTTGCCAACTGCCGTTGGGTGCTCCGCGCCAACGGAGTTAGCAGCGGACCCTGGTGTAGGAGCGCGAGAACAACCGATGGCGGAGGCCACAGCACTGCGAGTGGCGGCTACGACGGTCTCTCCAGTCGCGCCCGGGTCTGTAACCACCGCGGGAACTGCACCTGTCGGGTTAGTTCAGCCGGAGATTCGGAAGGACCCGAACAAGTTGTCGGGGGGCCCATCTGGAGCGGAAGAAGGACCGACGGGTAACTTAACAGGGACTCCCATCCCGATCTTGGGGACGGATAACGGTCCAGGACCAACGCTGGTGCCTGATGTGCCTCAGTTTATTACTGACTACTTGTTGGATTGCCGGGGGTTGGTGGATCCTGACCGAGTAGGACATCAAAACTTAACGGTACATGAACTCGTAGTTCTGAATTTATTTAATTTGGTATTAGGTTACGGCCGGCCTCAGCGGAGATTCTGGGATGAATACCTTAAGTCTCGGTTGGCGGCATGTCAACACGATTTTGATGATATCAAGATGTTGATCTACCCTTTTCTTTGTCACCAATTGCAGTCGAAATTCAACCTGGCTAAACACACCACCATTCCGACCACTGGCACTGGCAAGACTGGAGTAGCTCAGACCACTGGCACTGGCACGACGAACACTCGAAGGGTGGTGAATTTACCTGGCCGAATGACGGATGAGAAGCCTTTCAAGAAGTCGATGCTGCACAGCTTCTCTGACCGGGTTTGGTCAGGAATAAAACCACGATGGTTCGTAAGACAATTTTTGGGCTCAGTACAGCAGGTTCTGCCGGCGGAGATATCCCAGGTGTCTGACCGGAGGTACACTAATTACCTGATCCAGCAACTACAGACCGTCTTTCGATACAATTTAATGAACAGTGCCGAGAACGTGCTATGTCGGTTCGCAGCGAGTTACAACGACCGAAACGCTTTGTACCAGCTTTTGAAGAAGCCTATTATTTTGGGTCCTCAAGGTCGTTTTGTGCAATTGCAGGACTTGACGTGTCGTTTAGGGGGGCTTCTTTTACTCATTGAAGATGCCGCTTTTTCTGCTATGTCTGAGGTGGGGAAGACATTGATTGCACGATGGACAAAAATGCTTACCACCTTTCCCCAAGCGGATGCTGCCCAGTCTGCCGCGGAGCAGGAATCGAAGCTCAAAGGTCGTGTCGATCGACCGGTAATGGATCAGGGCGCGATTGGAGAAAGGACCAACATTGGCGAAGGTCTTTTGAGCACAATCGCGCTGGATGGGAAGAACGCGTTTCGTCCTGATGATGTTGCTCGGAGACTCAGCTCAAGCGCTAAGATCAGCGGCACGGTCCCCGGTACTGGACCTCGCCGCATAACCCCGGCAATGCGGTTGCAGCAAACCAAAATGGTGAAGGACGACATGACAAATGAACTGAATAAAGCTGTTCTGGGTTGCCAGTTGTGGCCGGCTGTAAAAATCCTGCTATCGATGCACAGCCACGGGACCTTCTCTCTGGATGCGGACTTAGTAAATATAGCGGACCGTGTTTGGCAGGCCGCCTTTGATATATCAGAGTCTAACCGCTACATCATACACATGTGTTGTGCCCGCTTTTGGTTCGTTCGTGGCTCCTACCAGTTGTGTCTGCACCACTGCTACCAAGCCTACATCGTCCTCTCGGCCATGCGCACGGGCCGGCCGGAATTGGATCCCCGGAGCGGCACGACTCGAGGCCTCGACAGCGAGGTCTCCACAGACTTAACGTCGCACATAACCCTCTCCAGCTACTCAGCCGCCCTCCGCCGATCTCTCACCCACACCAGCCGATCGTCCCTGACCTCTTTTCTGGATTGGATCCAAGACCAGTTTGACCTGGATGGGTACTTGATGGCGACCAACTGCTCCTTAGTCAGACCCTTGCAGGACAGCGCCATGTCCAACTCTCTGGCCGGCGTAGACAAGCTAACCAACAAGAGTAGTATCACGGACCTGGAGGACTTGGAGAACCATAGTGTGTTTGCACACACGACTGCACGCAGTCTGGCCCGCAACAAAGGGGCGTCCAACCTCCCACCTCAAGGAATCGCCGCACTGGAACTGTACATTAAGCTACCACAAACCCGAAACGCCCTTTGGCTAGCACGGATTCGGGCGGCCATGGCCATAACCTTCATCAAACAATCACTGACCGACGTGAGCTTACCATGGCAACATCTCGAGCAGTACGCCATTGGTCTCGCTGAACTGTTGCCAACAGAGACTGTGCCTGCGGATCGCTACACAGATGCCGAGTTCCTCAAAGCACAGGCCGAGTTAGCCGTGCGAAACATCCCCTACAGCGAAGCCTTACGTAAGCACTACATTCGAAACGAAGATGTTGGCGACATAGGACCGATGAAGGCCAAGACGGTGCGGTGGGACGACTCCCCGTCCAAACCGTTTAAGTCAGCCACCAAGCCGTCCAAGATGAGTACTAAAGGGATATCCACTCTCGAAAGCATCAGCCAACGACCGTCACGGTCCACGATGAAGACTGGCGCACCCAATACTTCCGGTCGCGAGTCTCGACGCGAGTCCAAGGGGGATCGGGACGGGCGGGGATCCCGTAGGAAGCGTACGAGCAGCAGCTCCGGAAGCAAGAAGTCGAAAACGGTGCTCACAAATACCTCGTTTGGCTCCGACACTCTGACTCTTGGCACCTCAGACGACAGCCGAGAACAGCGCAAGTCGGGCCGCCGAGGATCGGGCACCCGGTTAGAAGGATCGGGCGTCAGGATGGAAGGGTCGAACGCCCGACTGGGAGATAAAAAGTCGCAGGGTCGCGCTGGAGAGCTCACCAGCGCGTCCAATCCCCCTCCGGGGGGCAGCGAGCTGCGACAAACGTCTGAAGATGCATTGCGGGACGCGGCGGCCATCGAAAGCGCTGTCCAGCGCCGGTCCAACCGCCGACACTCGACGACCGCGAGCGGCATCGGTCATTGGAGCGAAGGCAGTGAGAGCACCGTCTTGGAATTCGGTCCCTGGAGCGAGGATAGTGGCAGCCGGTCCGGCGGCAGCCGGTCCGGCAGCAGCCGGTCAGGCAGCTCCTCCAGCAGCTCTGACAGGACTGTTTCGCAAATATCCAGCGGTACGTTGCGGTCTCGCGGTTCGGATCAGATTGGACAAGATCAACGCCGCAGCAGCATTACGATTGTCTCGGACAAGGTCTCGGTGGGGAGCCATTGGGCCGCTCTACCCCCCGGAGCGAAGAGCCCGTGGGCGCGAACAGAGAGCTTCCGAGAGAGTCCCCCCAATGCACCCGCAGGAGCACTGGGAGCTGCGAGCATCTCACGACAGCCGCACGACAACTCTGGAACATTGCCTATGTCTATTCCAGGTGGTGGAGGCCTGAGCCCAAGCGGTGTAAGTCCTGGTCCTGGCGGTGTAGGTCCCAGTCCAGGTGGTCTAAGTCCTAGTGCAAGTGGTGTAAGTCCAGGTGGATTTGGTTCTCGAGACACTGGGAGTGGAGTGGATCGGGGGTTGCGGAAGGAGGCTTTCAGGAAGGAGTCATTGCCGGGTCGCGGGGTCGGCTGGGGTGCAGGTGGGGAGCGTGCAGGGCTGCAGAGGTCGGGTAGTTTCGGTCGTTCGAGTTCGCGGTTAGATTCGATTGGGAGTGAGCGTCGGGGTAATGAGCCGTTGAATGATGGGTTGGAACAGGGTGGGTACAAACGTCAGACATCGGTATCAGGTGGTCTGGGTGGTTTGATGGCGGTGTTGGATGCGGAGTTGAGTACCCGTTCAAGCGTGAGCACACGAGCGTATCGTGACCCAAAGTTTACGGTGAATATACCGGACCGTGCGGCAGTGTTATTACGTCCGGAGGAGAATGAGGAGGAGAAGGATGTGGTGGGTATTGGGGCAGAGGCTAGGTTAGCGGAATTGCAAAGACGTAGTCGTGATAGTGGTGGTGAAAGGCGGTTGGCGCAAGCGTTGGGTCGGAATGACTTGCGACATCGTGTGTCCGCCGTGACAGCGATCCTGGAGAGTCAGTTGGGAGTTTCTATGAACGGCCAAGAGGACGACCCTGATACTCGCAATCGTGTGCGCACACTGAAAGTTAATTACGCCACCTGTCTACTCGCTACCGCCATCCCCTTTCTCAGCCATGGATACCCTTCGTGGTATTGCCTCTGCCTCCTTGGACTTGGGTTTTGTCTCATGGTCCGATCGGCTAGCGCCGCACCTCAATATACGAACCTGTATAAAGTCCGTGCCGCCGAGGCCTTTTGCGAAGTCATTGACAAGTGCCCCGACGTTTGCGACGTCGTTTACTCTGACGCCCTCGAAGGCCTTGCCGTGCTTCTAGCAAGACATCAACTAGGGCTCTTCGCCCTACAACTTAGCCTTGTCAGCCGGCCCGGCCGACGGCAAACAAAGCCCGTTGACTCCCCTTCATCAGTCACCTCCTTCTGGCTCGAACTAGCCTACACCTGCAGCTACGAATCAGAAATACTTAGTGAACTCGAACAAAGAGTCGATCCCCGCAGTCTCTCCAACAATGAAGAAGTATCAGGAACTGGATCAGGCGGAGCAGCAGGAGCCGGTCCCGGCTCCGGCTCCGGAGCAAAGGGAGGGAAGAGACTCAATCTGCGATCGCGGAAGGGCGCGGCCGCGGTGGACGTGGCGACGGGCGGTCGGCCCAGCATCATGGGACGTGACTCGAAGGTTGTACGGATGCGCAACCGTCTCGGCGCAGCACCAGCGGAGGCCATGCTGAAACCTCTACGATACGATATTTGGAACACAGATCTGTTACCGGAGGAGTCGGTAATCACGGAGGATGAGTGTCTCTCGCGAATGATTAGGGACGACCGCGACCTGACATTGGATGATCTCTGGTATGTGCTGCATTTCAGGGGCCTGATTCGTCCGCAGCACTTTTTTACATTGCACAAGATGGTCCGTTCGTGCAGTTTCCTCCCTGACTCGCAGTATGCACCACATGTCAAAGACAAATTGCTCAAGTACGTGGCTGTGCACTTGCAACAATACCAGTCGCCGGTGCTGCCACGGAGTTCGGTTGCCTTCCACAGTTTCCAGCAACAGCTGGTGAGTCTCCTGCGGGAATTGACAGTGCAGCACTTTGGTGAGGTATTGCAGAGCACACAGGCCGCGGCTAGCACCTCGGGCGCAAGCCCCAATGCGGCGAGACCCAGCGCGACTGGAGCTAACGCAAACGCGCGTGCGAACACAAACACGGGTGGCCTTGTCAGCGGCAAGCCGGGCCGGCTTGGCGCAGCGGTGACCGGTGGAGGCCAGAACTCGCCGCGCGTGGGGAGCTCTGCGTTGGAAATTACGACACGGACAGTGCTCGGTCAGTTTGCAGTCAGTCCATCGGCCAAGACGGAGACGGCCCAAGCCGAGGCTATTGTCGAAGACGAGGCCGCTGCGGCCGCCCCCAGTCAAGGTGCACGGTACGCCCCGGTCCTCTCCAGTGGCGGGGAGTTCTACCACTTCGTCCAGGCCTACCCACGCGTTGTCGACAAAGCGTTTCTCGCCATGGGCGACGCGTTCGAAGGCGCACTTGCACTTCTCACCGGACCTGAAAGATTGGTTAAGATCGCCACCAAGCTCTCACGCCCCCGACTCTCCTACTCCGAACCCCGTTTCGTCTATGCCGAGCTGGCGCCTGCAGACCGCGATATGGTCGGTGCCGCTCCATCAACCGCCCCAACTCCGAAAGGATTCACAACGCGACGCGGACCGTCCAGAGTGGGAGGACCGACGGGTGGGGGAGGAGCGACCGCCCGAGGATCGACCGCTAGGGGACCGGGTTTGGGAACGACCGCCAGAGGGCCGGGTCTGGGATTCGGTTTGGGTCTTGGGGAAGGTATCCCGGTGGACGAGGCTGGTGTGCCGTCCTCCAGTGGGTCACCGAATGAACAGATCGATCGGTATTTCGAACAGCTTATTCTCTACGCCATTGAGGAAACAACGCAGATTCGCCGCCTTGGGCTCAAACCTCTTGGACCTGATGAGAAACAAATCAGAGTTAAGGGTAACCCCGTGGGACTTCAAGGATTGTTCGACCGCTACCCAAGACTCATCACGCCGTTCATCGACATCGTCGTCAGCATCATCTTCAACTATAAACAAGCCGACGTCGAAGACAGCATGACCACCGTCCCCTACGACACACTCGAACGAGTCAAGACTCTCATAACCCCTATCAAAACTGTTTAGCGTCGCTGAATGACCTTCCCCCTTCGTTCAATGACCTTCCCCCTTCGTTCAATGATTTTCCCCCTCACCAGCGCCTCTCGCCAACGCCTCCGTTCTACATAGCTAGCTAGTTAGTTGGTTTTTAACCTCACCAGAGAACGTACAAAACAACACACCAAAGGACTCAGAACAAACCCATGATGGTAGCGGTGCCGGCGATTAGAAGAGCTTGCTGCGACAGGAAGGGAGTACTCCGGCGTCGACCAGGTGGTCCCGCGCCATGGCTATTGATTTGTGTAGTTTATCATTGGTCTGTCGTAATAATTTGGTCTACAGTGGCAGTGGGTGGAAGGAAGTGTTTGCTGCTGCTGGAAACAGCGGAGGTGGAAGTGGGCAGTGAAGGTGAGTAGTGGAAGTAAGGGGGTGGGGCCAGAATACTTCATCTTTCAGAGAGGCCAGGTCGTTCTCCAGATTCGACTGTTTGGCCTCCAACTGTGCCACAGCGGTCCTCAAAATGTGTTCCACGGTGAAGTGGTCTTTCGACTCCTTAGCCGAGTCGTTGGCCTTGGCCACCAGCTTTCTCATCAACCAACGGTTCAGCTCGGTCATGTCGAAAAGCACGTTCTTGGCCAGAACGTCGGTCATAATGTCGATGTCTTGTCGTCGTAGCTGTAACAATGCCAGGGGGCTCAGCCCTGAAACTAACGTAACCTCTTCGATCCCAAACAACACATCCATTACCACGTCGTCATCCAGCTGAACAGGAATGTGTCTATACAGGTGTGTGTGCTCACACATGTAGTATTTTTGTGCGGGTTACTTGTTCTGCGTTACTATTGATTTTTCGAACCAGCTCATATCCTGCCTGCATTGTGGCACGCAGAAGTGTGCACCTGAAAACGAGGATCCCGTTGGATATATTAATACGTCATAGTCAGCTTTTTCGTTCAGCTGATGCTAGTGTGGTATGTGCTTTGAAGAGAGAGGAGTCCTCCTCCTCCTCCTCGACCGTAAAATCAATCGAACCGAGATCCTCGACGGAAGGTCGAGAATCTGGTCTTGTGATGCGGAGACGCCTGAGAGACGTCCGTTCCAAACCACAAGATCGTTCGCCTCAGCTGAGCCGCCATCGCAATAAGATTGAAGTACAACCAGTCAAGCAGACCACTGGGAATCACGACATAGCGGAACAGGACATGGCGGAACAGGACATGGCGGAACAGGACAAGGCGGACAGATATCAGGACAAGGGAGACCAGAACAAGGACCCAGCACCAATAGTGAGCTCGGATCAAAACGAGCAGAACTTGAAGAAGCGGGATTTGAGCGAGCAGAACTTGAACGAACGAGATCAGAAGGAGCAGGAAGTAAAGGAGCGAGATCTTAAAAACGGGGCTGATGGCATAGTCGCAGGATGTATTGTGGGACGCGACAATGTCGGGGATCCAAGTCATGGTCAGAAAGGTGATGGATGCCTGTGGAAACCACAAGAAGGACTGGCCACTCAGAATAGGACTGAAAGGGGAGGACCAAGTGAGAATGCATATGCATGGGTGTCCGACTCGAAGGAGTCTTGTGTTGGGTTGTTGTCAGGTGTGGTGCTGCCTAGCGTGGTGCTACCTGGCATGGTGATGCCAGGCATTATTATTCCCAGTTTAATTCAGTCGGCCGTGAATATAAGGCAGGCGGAAAAAGGTACTCAATACGAGGAGGCATGGCTAAGCGGAAGGAAAAAGAAGGACAGTGAGCCACACAATGATCCCAGCGATAATGATCCCAGCGACAATGAGCCCAGTGACAATGAACCCAGTCACAGTGAGCGCAGGTGGCCGGGCATGATGGAGGGGCACAGAAGCGGTAACCGTGGCCCTCTCACGAAGACACACCGAGATCCGCCCCGGTCCAACTTTGATTCGCCCGTTGCTACTCCGCTCGAGACTATCAGTGCGGTTCGTACATTCTCCGCCTCCCCTATTCAATTTACGATTTCTACTCCACCACTAACCTATACCGCGGGACCAGCGGCCCGCCGGCGAAGCCCCTCGAGTGGCCCTCTGAGCTCCGGAGATTCTTTTGCCAGCTCCCTGAATTCTAGTGGAACTGATCACAGTTTAATTATGGATCACAGTGCACCGCATATAGTGACTGGCGACGTCACGAGTGTACTAGACAAGTCCGGCAGATGGGAGCTGAATCGCTCGATACAGTCTTGTTCGGAACCACCCCGGTCGACGGGAGCAAATTTGAATGTGTCGCCGCCAAGTTCGGAGTCTGGGGAAGACCGAGGCAGGGGGGCACAATGCCGGCGTTCCGGGGCCATGCAGGGGTCTAAGCGCCTGCAGGCCCGATACTGCGAGACGTCGAGCACGGGGCCGCGGAGACTTTCATGGAACAAGTCGACAAGTCTTGTCTTGCACAGCGTTGAGCAGCACAGCGTTGAGCAGCACAGCGGTGAGCAGCACAGCGTTGAGCAGCACAACGTTGAGCAGCTCCGTTCGGCTCTGAGCCGAAGGTCCCACCCACATATTTCAGCAGAACTTGTTCCACGTCTTCCACAACGTCAAGCAAGCACGTCCAGCAGCGAAACCCCTATGCCTTTACCACCGAAAGCCACCAGGTCACCTGTGGCGGATGAATTGGATGATCGTCCCGATCTCTATGCGACCCGTGGGCCGACTGACGCCACTCCTGCGCAAACTGAAGCTGATTTGAACACCACTCGAGCTCGCTGCAACTCGGATCGACTCAGCGATGCAACAACTCCGGATATTGTGCCGCCGTCCGACCACGCACACGTGTGTGCAGTAGTCAGCCGCGAAAGAGCAGCAGACGAAAATACAATCAGCCACAAGTCAAGTGCCGTGATCTCCCCTGCTGCAGATTCATCCACAATACACATGTCTGCGATGGCTTCCCCCCCCTCTGGTGGGGATTTGTCGATTGGAATTTTGTCAGTCTTGGTGCAGCCTCCGACGGATGCAAGGGATGAGTTGCTGCAAGATGACTTGGTACCTGGCGAAAACGTCTTGTTCGATAGGGGGGGAAACCGCCTGCTGGAGACGGTTGTAGAAGTGCTGAGTCCCATTACTCCGTTTGGTACTGGTCCGACGAGCCGAAACGACTCGTCATTTGAACCCAGGTTGAGCGCACAGGCCCATGCGTTCGACTACAACCCCATATCTAGTTCGACGAGTCCCCCTGTCTTGGCCACAACTCGTGTGGATGCAGTGGCGGGAACAGGCCAAAGTGTAGACACAACGAGTGAGGATGACCGAATCTCCTTTGACATATCTCCATCGGAATCGGTCCCAGGACAGACGCTTGCTGGAAACCCTGCCGTACCGTCCTGTACTCTCTCACCGGCAAGTGAGTCATTTGCCGTTTCTCCCACAAGCCCTTCAGCCGCGGTGCAGCTGGAGGCAACACCCTTAACGCAATCCGCGGTACTCACCATTGGCCGCGGCTATGACGACCTGTACTACGAGTGCATGGATATACGCCTGGCACGCTGGGCATCCGTCATGCAGTCTCAACTACCACCCACAGATGTGCCGCCACCCACAGATGTGCCGCCACCCACAGATGTGCCGCCACCCACAGATGTGCCTTCTCTTCCGGGGGAGACCTGTGAATATCGCCCAGCTCCCCATCACAGCTGCGACCGCGTAGACAACTAGCACCGCAAACTGAAGATGCAGGACGTGGTGAAGTCGGGACATGCTGCAGACGGTCTTAGATACCTCCAATCCGTGGGGTTTATCGTGAAGGTTCCGCTCAGTTCCTAGGTGGAAGCCATAGGCCTTGGAAGCCGTAGGCCTTCGAATCCCAAAGCCGAAGATGCGGGGGGCACCCCAATCATCGGGGCTACCTAGCTACATATATCCCCTATATATCCGTTTATCTGATCACGGTGATGGACTCAGCGAGGCTGATGCTTTCAGCCATGTTCTTCAACCGCATCGCTATTCCGCGACGTATTCGAAGGGTCCGAGGAACGGATCGTAAGGCACCCAGCGGAGATTGGTCGGGAATACAGGTCGGCTTGGTTTGCCGAGAGTGGCAGAAAGGATTCTGATGAAGTCGTCGGATATGTAGAGGAACTTTTGCCTGGTGAAGGGCTCCGTAAAGACCATGTTGGCATCGCTGAAGGTTGTGAGTATGTCTGAAGGCTCGAATGATAGGTCGTCGGCGATTTCATTGATAGTGAAGTTCGTCCGGTCCTTTAGTACGTGCAATAGACATTGCCGCCAGTAATTGATGTACGAGACCCGGCCGAGATCTGAGAGTGGTCGTTCAGGTGTGCCGCGACGTCCTTCCTTGAGCGCCAGGGCGTAGGAAAAGTTGATAAGATATTTGCCATAGCCTTTTTTCTGATACTGTGGTAACACCAGAATGCAACTGACGTTATTCCTACTATACTTCTCCTTGCTAAAATAACCAACAATATGGTAGCCATCGATATGGATCTCAGTCAAGACATAGAATAGGAATAAGTGTACAGGATGCCGTAACGTCTTATGGTCGAGAAATAACTTGGACACGTAACTCAAATTCTCGCAATACACTCGTGACATACCACCATCCACTTCCCAAATGGCTATACCACTTGTGTCGACTCCACCTCCAGTGTTAGCGCCAACTTCAGTGTTAACTCTATCTCCAGTGTTAGCGCCAACTCCTGTGTTATTGTTCACTCGAATATTTGTAGTGACGACTCGTGTGCTATCACCACCAGCTGCAGTGAAGTACTCCGTATCTCTGTATATCTCATGGCCTGGAGGATGTCGGGTGATGCATCTCATCCTGTGTCTGGTATATTCCACCTCATGTTTAAAGAAGGATAAACAGAATTGACAAATATGCATTTTTGGCGTGTTTTGAACCTCTAATGGGTAGGGAGAGAAATACCAACAGGACACCACATATTGTCCCATTACGATGGCATTAATGGTCTTGAACTTAGTGTGTTCATAATGCTCTTTGAGATACTCACGATCCACATTTGAGTGCGCGTCGTCACTTAAGGCTTCTTCCCATTCCACGTCATCGACTCCTGTTGGAACCAAATCTCCTGCCGATGATCGTGGATATACGCCATGATCTTCGCTCACTTCCGACAATTTCCTCAGCAGTGAATGCCGCACCCACGAGTCCAAACGGCGGTCGTAACCTTTCCAATGCACGTAGGCCTCTGGCTCCTCTATCACACCTCCGCCCAACCCAGATAAAGCCGGCGGGCGCTCCATAGCAATTATCTCTGCACGCCGCCAGCGCCGCGCGTCTTCATTAAACGCCCAAACCAACTCATGCACGCTCCAGGGACTCCGAGCGCTTCCGGATGGTGAACTGCTGGTTCTCTTCCCTCGGGACATTTTATATCACCCGTCCTCTTACCTTGCCTCAGGATGTATGGATCCCGTACTTTAACCCCAGATGGACGGGTCCCTTGCTCTTGCCTTAGCTCGAGAAGCATAAGTCAAGACCTTAGGTCAAGATCTTAGATCTATACAGGCAGCTTAAAAAGACAGCTCACAGGAAGGACTTAGATGATGGGCTCAGATAGAGGGCGGTATCAAAACTACCGAAGGCCGCTTGGGAGTTAATCCGCAGCCAACGGGCGTGGTCCAAAAAGACCCCAACTTCAGGACGTTGGTGAAGACGATAAAGCCTCCGAATGTCGCAATCAGCCCGATGAGACCGAAGCGGTTATACGCTTGCCATCGCAGCAGAATCTCCACAACCCATATAATAGGCGCGCGGCAACTGTAGAGTAAACCTTTTAGCAGCCCGCTGCCCAATTGCGTCACAAACATTCCCGTGGAGTTGAAAATGAATGACGAACAGATGAAAGCCATCACTGAACCCTTTAAGGTCGCGGATGAAAGCAGCTGGTGCCATCCATGTTCTAGATTTTGGATTTTGCACACGTGCGCGATTGGGAGCGCTACTAAATTCCACATGATTCCGGTGATTCCTGCGAACCCTACAGCTCTAAGAGGAGGCGAATAGCGTTTCTTCAGGAGTGCTTCTTCGAAAATGAGAGTGCAAGCGTTCAGGGAAGTACCCAGAAGCGTCAAAATGATCCCGAGAACTGCTGAACCTGAATGGTTGCTCTCGGCTTCTGGATTTCGAAGAGATTCTGCGCCCGCAATGACCATTCCAAGGGTCATAATAATGATGCCTGTCCATTCGCAGACCAGCAATGGTCGTCTCATGACGACTAAAGTATTGAGCGCTGTGAAAATCATAACAGAATTTCTGAGCAGCTGAACGGTGGAGGCGTAGGTCATGGTGAAGGCAAAGTTGATGGTGGCCGTGCCCAAGATATCGCAGAGTGAGGGGAGGGCGAACCACCACCATGGAGTTACCCGATATAACAGAGCCGAACTTGGAGGATCTATGAACTCAAATTTGCCGTATCCACGCGGGAGTTTGAGGACCCGTTTTCTATACAGCAGATCCAAACCGTGGGCAACCAGACACAAAGACTCGGCAATAAACATGAAGAAAGTTTGGAGAAACGGCTGTTCAAAATAGCGAGACTCACAAGTTGGGCACACCGCTGACTTGTGGCGGTTCTGGAGCTTACCCACCACAATGTTTGTAACACCCGCGGCCAGACAAAATGCACAGGCAAGCACCAAGGACCAAGAACCGTTGCCCACAGATCCTGCCGGCCGAATATTGTGGCCCACGACCCTCACTGTACCCGCAGATCCGGGAATGCGGAATGACCCGACGGAGCCAGGCACACCAATCAGCTCCACTGAACCTTGGAGAGAGCTCGGTGTTGAGCACTGGCCACGGGGTGATAGTGACTCTGGAGTGGACAGTGGCCCTGGCGTTAGCACAGACTCAATAATATCGCGGACTGAAACGTTCGGTGCTGAGACTTTCTTCGTCATTTCTCGCGCTCGATATTCGATTCTTCCCACAATTTCGTGCCGGGAACTTTGACACACAGGGTGCACTTTTTTTAGTGACGCCCCTGCTCCCTCGCAGCCCACGACTTGATCACCAACTCATGAGTTATCTATTTTTAATTCACACTCATGGACCACGACAGACACGTTCCTGGCTTGGACGACGAACAAGAACACCGCCGAGGGAACAACGACCCAGAGGATGGCGATCAGGAAGAGCTCACAGACCCACCTAGCCTCCATGATGACGACCATAGTGACGACGACGACAGTGATGGCGATCACAGTGATGGCGACCACAGTGATGATGACGACGACGACAGTGATGGCGATGGGGGTGAAGGCGATGGGGGTGAAGGTGATGGGGGTGAAGACGATGGGAGTGAAGGTGATGGGAGTGAAGGTGATGGGAGTGAAGGTGAGGCGAGAGACGACTTGCTGAACGTCCAAGCGCCCCCGCCCGTCCCGGTTCGGGGTCCTGGTTTGCGAGCGCCACGTGTGCAGCTGCCCCCCGACATCCCGCCGATCTTCGGTCTGTTCGGACCGGTTGAACCCCCGGCACCGGGGGCTCCGGAACTCCTGCCACTGGCGGCTCCGATGTTTCCGCCCGTGGTAGGCCAGGTGTTAGGCGGTCGAGGTCCCGTCCTCGCTGCGTTGGGTCCGGAAGGGCCACTCTTTGAGGAGCGGCCTGGGGGTCCGGTGGTGCGGGCGGTGCCGAGGCGGTTGGGTCCGGCGCCCGAGGAGGACGGGCCGGCGTTGGCCTTTGTACCGCGCGCGGCCCCGTTTCAGCGACGCGGGCGACGCGGACGGCAGCAACAGCAGCGCATCGAGCAGCCGGTCGCGCCCGAGCCGGTTGCCGGCGTCAAGACAGACTCGCCGTGGCTCGCCGCAAGGCCAGACCAGCCGCGCGTGCGTCCGTCCTTCGCGGTCAGCTACGACATCTACCCACGCGCGGCGGACACTGTCAGCACGCTCGCGCTATGCCAGTCGCACATCTCCTACCTCCTCACCGGCGAACACGCGCCCGCCGCGCCCGAAGAGGCCAAGCCCTGCCGACGTAAAAAACGGCCCGGCGCGGTCCGGGCGATGGAGTCAGAGATGGAGGCGGATATACCGGCTGCGGGACGCCGGAGAGCAGGGGCGGGTCGAGTGGCGGCGGCGGCCCGACCGGTGGAAGAGGCGCCGGCCACGACGGCCGCGGATGCGGAGGCCGCGGCTGCGGAGAGGCCCCGGTTTGCGTTGCTGGCGGAGGGGTTGGAGAGTGGGAGTGACTTTGCGTCGAGTTCGTCGGCGGCGAGTGAGGCGGCGGAGGGTGTGTCTGGGCGTGGTGCTTCACGTTCGCTGGCGGGGTTCCCGCGGTTGGGCGAGCGGCCGCCGGTGGTGTTGGGGTTGAGGGCGGCTGTGAGTTTCCCGGTGCCGGGATCGCCAATGTTCTGCGGTCGTGACATTTCGCGGGACAAGATTTTGGTGGTTGCGGATGCGGAGACGTGTGCCCGTTGGCGTGGTTACGCAAGTTGTGTGTGTGGACAATGTGCGCGTCTGACTGGGTCGCGCGGGTGCGGGTTGGTTGGTGTGTACCATGGACGGTACAAGCGTGCTTCGGAAATTTTCCGCAAGGCGTTGGTTGTTACGAGTATCGGCACACTCGTGCGTTGTCTACCGGACCCCTATGAGTGCGTCACGGCGAACCCCTTCGAGTCTGTCGGGTGGACGACAGTGGTGGTTAACGAGGAGGTGTTGCCGCCGAGCATATCGCAGAGCCACGTGGCGCTCGCACGTCTCCGCTGTCGTCAGTGGTTCGTGGTGCGCCCGCTGGCGCGTGTCCAAAGCTGTCTGCAGCCGCAAGGCTATCCCGCCTTCGTGCACGACTTGGTCTCGATCAACCGCACTACGCCGAACGCCGACCAATTCTCGGTCGGCCGCCGCGGCGTCCACGCCGAGGGGCCCCGATACCATGCTGCGCACCACGGCGCCTGGCTCGTGCCCTACGCCGCCAGCTCCGGTGCGGGCGGACTCTGCAGCCACTGCGCCAACCTGCCCGGCGCCGGCGCCGCAGTGGCGGCCGGTTTCCCAGCCGCGGGCGGGCGGTCGTGTCCACAGGCGCGCGGCCTGTCGCAGTTCCTGCACGACTTCGCTACGCTCGTGCCGCCGAAGTCGACGTTCTCGACCAGCTGCTACACGGTGGTCAAGTACATGCGGCTGCCGCTCGTGCGCGACGACCTGGAGCTCGTGGTCGCTGTGGACCATTGTCTGCGTGCGGCCGCCGCTGCGGCCGGTGTCGAGTGCGTGCCGGTGGCCGAGAGCGCGCCCGAGAGCTGGGGGTGAGGCGTT